ACATAATGCCCACATCATTATTTGGTTGCCACATAATGCCCACATCATTATTTGGTTGCCACATAATGCCCACATCATTATTTGGTTGCCACATATTGCATTTTTTAACGGTTATTAATAATAACGTGACTATCCGTTAAAATGTTGAGTTTTTCACGGATTTTGAAAAGTAAAAGGTATTAATTGGAAAGAAAATATTTGAAAGGTGTTGATCACAAAAAAAATATAATTTGATCACAAAAAAAATATAATTTGAGGGTGCAAATAGGGGCTTCAGCCTTCTTTGTACTAGAAGTAGAACGAAGGGAAACCTCTAATGACACCTCTCGTAAAATGTTAGCCATTCCTTCGCTATTATTTTTTTAAAAGCAAGGAAAGTCTTAAGAGAAGAAAAAAATATTACAATTATTTTATATAAACTTAAATTTTTATAAAAATTAAAATATCTAATGCACATTATTAACAATACCATTCTTTGCTATTATTGGTCATTATACGAAGATTAATGAAAATATGAAATAGACTTTCTCTACTGGGTATTATATTTAGGGAAAAATGTTTATATATAATGAAATTTTTTTAAAAATATATCTAAAAATTTATATTTTAATTAATATTTTTAAAAATTAATAATTAAATTAAAATTTTTTTTCATGTAAATCATATATGTTAATTTTTATATTAATTTAATAGACTTAATCAATTTATTAATTATATATAATTTAACATAATTAAATATATATCAATACATAAAATTTTTTTACATTAAAAAATAACAAATATTCAATAAATATAAAATTAATATCCATGATTTACACAAAAAAAATTTTAATTTAATAATTAATTTTTAAAAATATTAATTAAAATATAAAATTTAAATATCCCCTCTAAAAGAATTTTTGAGCCGACGTACATGTATCATCCTAACCCTTTATATTTATTTAACACCTTGTATTTATCTCATTTATACAAATAACATTTTTAGTAGCGCATATATAGCTATATATGCGCTATGGCTGTGAAAGCAATCTAAGCACCCTCTTTAAGGAAGAAAGACTAACAATTACTCCAACGTTGGATCTAACTTTGAAAAACAAATAACCGTATTATTAGGCTGATCACCAAAGAGAGAGGAGTAACAAACTGACCTGTTAGACGAACGTTATCATAGGGCCGATCTGTGTAGTAACAAGAAAATTTATTCGAACCCGTATCATACCCACATTGCCCACCGGAGCCTCTGCACCGATCACACAAACTATTATTTGCCTTCCAGTGCAACCCAAATCCTTTTGCAAGAGCTTCAACCAGATTTTCCGCGCTCGGACTCGGACTCGGACTCGGGCTCGGGCTCGGACTTGGACTCGCGCCCACGGACTGGATTTCGGATTGGTTTGCGGCCAGAACAACCCTGTCACCGCATCTACCCAAGAATTCACTGATTAGAGGCGCAAAAGGAGCCAGGTCGGGCAACTCACTGAGATTTCTGGTGAGGTAATAGCCACCGAAGGTGGTTTCGTTTACATTACAAGTAAAATGACTGAAGCACTTTGGTATTGGAGTTGGAGGAGTTGGAGGAGAAGGAGGAAGAGGGGGGCAATGATAATAGAGGTTTATAAACTGAGCATCGGAAGTAAATTCAAAGAGGTCAGGGTTCAGAGTGGTGTTGATTAGGAAGGCGGGGCAGAGGTCTTCTAGACAATCGGCTCTGGCCACGTTGAGAAACCGGGACTCGTTGTTGATTCCAAGGACGTGGTATGTTGCTGACATGATTGTGATCTCCAGGATTGAGTCTCTGCAGTTCAGCTGGAACCCCGGGAAGCCACAGTAGTCCGGCCTGCCTGAACCCCAGAAAGGATAGCCAATATTCTCAATGTTTCCACAGGCGAAAGTCCTGTTGCAGTTCGCATAACGTTCATCAACAGAGGATGCAAATTTAGGAGCATGGGTCAAAACGAAGGTGATGATGATGATGATGATGATGATGAAGAAAGACCCAGGGAGGCGAAGGGGATCCATTTTCTCACATGAAACACAGAGGAGGGAAAATGAGAAGATGGGGGTGAAAAGGTTGCAAATGATGGTGTTTGACAGGTTGAGAGAAAAGAAATGGTGGTGTTTGACTAAGTGAAAGGGTGAGATTTATCACAGAGAGGTTCTATTAATTGGAAATTTGAAACGATTAAATTAGTGGGAGCCAAATGAAAATGAAATTAGACTAACAGTATACGAACCGCCAAAAAGATGGATGGGTTTTCCCCAGTGTCATTTTTCTTTTTATTTTTCTTTTTTAAATTGGAAATGAATTAGAAATTATCTTATTTTTAAATAAATTCACTTTTAAACGAATTTTTATGTTTTTAAAAATTTTGAGTATATATAAAAAAAATCATGTGATTTATTGATAAAGCGGGCTTACAAAGTAGTCTTTTGAAAAATATATGTTATATACAGCAAATGAAACCTAACTTATAGGACTAAAAGTAGAAGATGTACTTATGTTAAATTTATACAACAATTAAGCAAAAATAGCCAATTATTATTAAAAATTACTAGAGCAATTGTCATATAGGGGCAAAAGCAGATCGCAAATACTTTACTCTTTGCATCAATTTCCTGGTAATGTAATTTCATCGCATAGAAGTCTTCCACCGTTTAGAACTGTACTAAGATAGCAAGTTTCATTGGAAATTCCTAGTACTAAGCAGGCTGTGTTGCGGCATCAAGGCATCTTCTGCATACTCAAGACCACATGTTAGATGGCCGAACATTTTAATAGGTCAAACACTAAGAATAAGAATTGAGGATAGAATTACCCCTCCTCAAACACTCCTCAAGATATAGAAGCATTCTGTCCAACCATTGGATGAACATAAAGCATTAAGCAGGCTGTTTTGCAGCATCATCAAGGCATCATCGATGGGGATGAGGAACTGGAGGGATTGATGGGTGAATTTGGAGAAGGTGATATAGGATGCAAGTGCCTTATAGAAGCAAGTGAAGCTAATTTGAATTTGCTTGACTTATAAGACTTTAGCATTTCAACATCTTTGCACCAATTTACTGCTAAATTCATTGAAAAGGCCATGGAGAATGAGACTGCTTTACGCGTTTTGCGTCCTATCCACGTAGACTGAAGTTTCCCCCTCGTTCTCCACTTGAAGAAAGACGGGTCAATCCCTAATGGGACGCCTCTGCTTACTTTACCCAATCGACCCCCGATTCATACACATTATCTTTTTATGTGCAAACTACCACTTTCTTGTGTGTTTTAATTTTGAAGTTTACTAATCTCTTTTGAATTTCATTCAAAATAAGTAATTTATGTTGAAATTAAAAAATTTATAAATAATTTACTCTTTTTTTTTTTTTGAACAAAGTGTCATGGGTGAGATTCAAACTTCAAATCCACCAAGAGAAGGGAGAACTGCATCTTGAAAGTGGCCCGAAAGTCACTTGACCCGAAGGGTCAGGTGCTATAAATAATTTACTTTTTTATTATCTTCTCAAAAAATTAAATATTGCTCAATAAAATGAGGAGTAAATCTCTTTTTGCTGACTAAATCATAATTCTTTAGTTTAGTAATATTATTTGGGATTGTATTGCTAGATATTTTTTTAATACAACAAATCTGTTAAAGTGTTAAAATGTTAATTTATTATAATTAAATGAATTTATTAATTTTAATTAATATTTTGTATAACATATAACACACTTTTTAAAATAATTATAAAAAATAATACAATTTTTGTTATAGAAAAATATCGTCATGGCCATAGCATTTGATATTAACGACAAAAAGATAAATTAAATTATACACACTGAAGGATGAATTAAGCATCAAGCCCTATCTTCACTAAACAAAACCAAAAAATTTCACTGATCAGGTTGGAGGTTAGGTATTAAATAGACACATTGAAAGATAAAATAAGCATCTAATTTCCGTTTTATGGCTTGATCATCCATATCAACTAAACAGATAAATCATATCTCTACAATAATCCTTTTGAAAAAGATGTATAAGATCAATTCGAGCACTGTATCTCACGGCAACAAATCCTTTTAATTTATGATTGGAGATCACTCATTAACAAACAGTGAAATTGATCTTAAAGTTGCCCACGTACCCCCTGCATTTCACCTTAAAACAAATTGGTGTTGGTAAGTAAGGTGGGGCGGAGGTTGTCCAGATAATTGGCTCTGGCCATGGTGAGAACACGGGATTCGTTGTTGATTCCAAGGACTTGGTATGTCGCTGGCAAGATTGTGAACTCTAGGGTTGAGTCACCGCAGTTCAGCTGGAATCCCAGGAAGCTGCAGTATCGCCGGCCTGTCTGAACCCCAAAAAGGATAGCCAATATTCTCAATCCAAACAGTTTTCCAAAGAGCAACTGACTTCCGGAGCCATATACATTGTACATTATTGTGAAAATTAGTTAGACCAAGCAAATAACTTTGGTTGGAATTATATCATCATTATCATCCTTTTCTACTAAATATGTTCAACAGATAAATCCTATTGAAAACAACCATAAATCAATCACTCTAAATAAAGTTAAGGAGCTAGTTTTGGCTCACAAGTGAAAAATTGCTGTTTTTCATTGATTGATTGGATGAATAAACCAAAGGAGTGTTATTCTTGGAGAATGGGGATGATTTCACAGTGGTCCATTGAGTGTTACATGCTGAAGACTAGAGGATTAAGAAAATACAGGGAAAACTATGATGAACTTTTGAATACCATCTAAAGGGGATGTTTGACTCCTTGTAACAAAACTTTGTTTTGCTGTTAAAAAAAATGCAGCAGACACCATTTCTATGTATTTGAAGATACATCATCATCATCAAGTTGTGAATTCGTCTCAACAGTGCTTGGAACCACCTACAAATCATCTCAAACATATGGCTATGAACATAGTAATCAAATTAAAGACAATTGTACGTCCAAAAAAATTCAATACATTTATTGCGCTAGATCATATAAAAAATTGAAGAGTATGGTCTAACCTGCATTATGACTGAGGATGTGGTGTTGGAGTTTTGGAGTGATATTGCTGCAGGAGAAGACAACAAAGGTTCTGGTGGAAGTGGCAAAGCTTCGAGGCTTCCTTGTAACATCTCAAGCACCTTACTCATTGATGGTCTGTTTGATGGAATTGTTTGAATGCACCAAAGGCTCGCTACTATCATCTTCCTAGTCGTTTCTTCTTCCTCATCGTCTATGATTCTGTCAAGATTTAATTTTTCTGAATTTTCAAGCTGCTTATACAGCCAAGATGGAAAATATATTTCACTGGTATGAGACGCTTCCACATTAACATTCCTTCTTCCCCCAATCATTTCCAACACCATCATGCCATAGCTATACACATCGGACTTGTAAGATACTCCTCCAAAGTTTCGACAAAATACCTCTGGAGCAATATATCCACAAGTTCCTCTGGCCCCCGTCATTGAAACAACACTGTCTCTCGTTTCACATAATTTGGCAAGACCAAAATCAGATATCTTAGGACAGAAGTTGGCATCTAAGAGGATGTTTTGAGGTTTTATGTCAAAGTGTAAAATCCTTGTGGTACAACCTCGATGCAAGTATTCTAGCCCAAGAGCAATGCCTAGTGCTATCTCATACAAGGTCTTAATTGCAAGTTGATGATTTTCTGGAGATCCTTGATTATAAATGAACTTATCCAGGGATCCATTGGGCAAGAATTCATAAATCAAAGCTCTTTTCGAACTCTCATAGCAGTACCCCAATAGGGTGACTATATTAACATGGGAGGTTCTGCTAATGCTAGCTACTTCATTGATGAAATCCTGTCCATCCCCTTTGGATTTACTGAGAACTTTTATTGCTACAATACGGCCATCAGGTAATTCTCCTTTATATACGCTCCCATATCCTCCTTGACCCAATTTATCTTTGAATGAGTTGGTCATTTTCTTGATGTTTGAATATGAAAATCTCTTGGGAGCAAGGGAACCATACTGAAGAATGAATGCCTCAACTCTTTCACGGTTCTTTCTAGTTAGATGGAAGTTTAGAGACTTCAAACTTGACAGTGGTTTTCTTTTAAGCTTGAAGAGGAGCACTATAAAAGCGATTGCTGCAGTGGTTGTTAGAGGTACTGCCAATCCTGTTTTAGAGAGATTAAAGAAGATGAAATCAACTAATCTAGAAACCAATAAAAGATTCCAAACAAAAAATGTTTCCCAAATGAGACTAATATGGTACCTATGATTGGTGTAATGTTAAGTTTCTTTGTCCCTGCAACAACAACAAAAAGGAAAAGAAATGGTGTGACTAAAGCATGATAGAAACACACACTAAAACCCAAATGCAGAAATACTGAGAAAGATGCTCATTTGCAATAAAAGGATGTCAAATATTTAAAAAGGATCAACTCATCCTGAAAGAAATGCTATATTTTAGAATAAACACACACACATACACACAAAAGATCATTTGATTATTTGAAGTCATCAAATGGTTAATCATTGTAGCTTAGAGAATTCAAAATATTAAGCATTCAAAACTCCTCCACACCATTCATGTGAATATCCTAAGGTTAAAGTGTTACCAAAGTGACCAAACATCCCTGAATTTTCAGAGATCAATACTGGAACGCACTTATAGGCATTAAATTTAGTTAAATCTGAGCTTAAAATCATTAATCCCTCTTCCTCCTCTTTAGTGAAATCAATCCTGAGAACATACTTACAGGCTTTAAAATTTTATAAGCTTTATAGTTGGATTAGGACCAACATTCCTTAGTAAAAGTCGAGCTATCCACGTTGTATTCTTTTGTCAAGTTATTTTCTGTTGTTCTTTTCTTTGCAGGGGAAGGTTTGCTCCTCGGGATGTTTTTTCCCCAGCCCCATTGGGTGACGTTTTTGTATTATCCATCAAACCTTGTTTTTTCTGAATGAATTGTTCGATATTCTTACTAGGTGAACCAGAAATTACACCCCAAACTATCCTACAGCTTCCATCATGAAAGCTTATTTCCTTTCCCTTTTCGATAAAGAAAGCTCTATCATTTTTTATCTCAGTTTCACATTTTGACCTTAATAACACCTATTGTATGGCTCATGGGGCAGTCGGCGATGGGCAGTCCACTTTTATCAGTTACCTAAGAACACCTATTGACGTTTATCTAATGTTATTTTGGTTGGTTGCTATAATGTGCGATGTACCCCTCAAAATAAATGAATTTGATAGTGTTGCCCCACTTAAAATAAGTGGTACGTGAGGGTTTGGTAAGTAGATCTCTGATCAGACTTTGCTACCCAGTCAAATGACCTTGTCTATGAACAACAAATCTAAAGCAGGAGGACCAGTAATATTGGAATTATTGTCAGAAATGTAGGCATTCAAACCTGCAAAATGATGAAATGAAGCTGCCATAAAATGGCGGCTAGGAGGTTGAAAATTGACAGCAAATGAAACTGCAATTTGACAGCTAATATGATGGAAATGGAACTGTAAGATGACATAAAAAATGTGCAGCAAGCCAAGCTACAAATGTTGATGAAATGAAGCTGCAATGAGCAGCAAATGAAATGTAGTGCTGCATATTGGTCAGCTAAATGAGAGCAAGCATGCAGCAAAGGGACTGTCTTTTACTTGTTTTAGATGTACTTTTATTTTCACTTTTTAATGTAGAAAAGTTGCTTAGACAAAATAAGAAACTTTTTGAATTATTTTTATGTTTGTTTTCTGCAACATATAGCAGAGATTGTTAATGAGAAAATCTAAGGTGGAGTGTTATACTCTCTCTATTTTCGTTTATGTTCTGCCCTTCATCTTCTTCCTGATTTTCTCTCCATTCCTTTGCGTCGAAAAAAAAACAAAATCAACAAGTCCTCGTTCGATGAAACCCATGGTAGAATTGACTCCATGGAGTGATTTCAAATTGCAGTTGAAGTTTGGAGGTAATGGAATCAATGTATGTGCTTTAGAAGCAAGGATGAGAAGATAATTCAAAGAAACTGCTAGACAAGAAATTCTGTGCATTTGGTTGACTTAAAAAGACTTCAACTTTTCTACTTCTCTGCATCAATTTACTCTGATAATTCCATTGGAAAAAAACTCTTATACCGTGTAGAATGGAACTACTCCTGTTGTTGGGTTGATCAATTTGGGTCAACATCATCTTAAACCCAAAAAACTAGTTTATTAAGTTTATAGGTCTCCACATATATAAACCACTTACTTTTTACTCTCTACTTCTGATAGCTACTCAAATGTGAACACCTAATAACTATTATGTCTTGTGCAATAATACTATTCTCCTATAATATTTATTGAATACTTAGTTAGCTGTATGAATTGTGTGATGGCTACGACCATCTGGCTAATCCATCCTGATTCCATAGACGGTACTAGAGGATGATGCCTATGTAATGACATGCTAGATTGAAGATTATGACAGAGTTTATAACAAGGAAATTGCTCAATCAAAGTGGAAAAAAAAAAAACCTAGAGTCTACCTCAAGAAAGAAATGGACAAAGGAATGGAAAAAAAGACCGCTTTACGTGCTTTGCTTTCCTATCCATGGAAGGGTTGCTCAAACATTGGTTGACCACAGTTATCTGCTCTGTTGACTCCTCAGAAAAGGTAGCTCACATTTTCTATGCTTCCAAATTTAAAAGTTGGCTGCATTTTGAGTATTATAAATCATTGGCACAAAAACATGTTTGAAGTTTGATCATGGTAAAAAGAAGGATCAAGATAGAAGGAAGAGGGACAGAAGAACAGGTGTATTGCATTTCTAAAGAACTAGAGAGAGATATTAGGAAGGAAACAGAACAATGGATATGAAATCAATTGAGCTTCATGTTGCATTTAACAAGACTGCTACCTGAATAAACCTAAATGACTGAAAGGGACTAGTGTAGCCAACTACCGATTTGAAGTTGAGAGTTAGCAATAAGATGCCTTCTTAATAGGAAAATATGATAAAGGTATGAGAATTTGCTGGAATACAATGTCTGACTACTGACTAAAATATGTCGTCAGCCACCTAACACCAAAAGAATATAAATATTTCTCACAAGTGTTCATAGCATTCTCCAAGTTGATTGTGTTCTTAATCATTTGCTTTTACTTTTTAGTGCACTAAAATTAAAGCTTGTTGTGATGGTGTGGCAACACTTAAAATAAATGTGAAAGTTATGGTTTGGTGAGTGAAGCATTTAAATCATAATTTGCTACCTAATCAGATGACTTTATCTATGATCAATAAATCTAATGCGGGAGATTAAAAAAAATTCAGGGAAAAAAACAGTAACAGTAAGACTCTTCAGTTTAAATTCTTATTCTATAACGATAAGTACTTACCGTCATGAGGCAGGAGAAGACATTCTTGCTCTGAACTACTTGGTTCCTGACAGTAGCAAACCGTTCCATTCGAAGGGTTAATGCCACACTTTCCCTCGGAGGCAATGCACTTCTGACAGTACCCTTTATCATCCACCCTCCATTCTACTTCAAATCCAGAACTTAGGGCTTCTTCGATCGCTTCCCACATATCTTCTCCTGTGGGGAGAGGTTTAGGGACCATGACAGTGGCACTAACAGAGCAACCCTGAGGACAAGGAAATTTTGGTGGTGGGATGCAAACCTCGCTAGAATTGACTCCATTTAGACTACAGCCGAAGTTTTCAGTGAAGTGTGGATGCGGGCAGTGATAGGACAACGTAAGATTTTCATAACCTTCAGCAATGACAAAGAGAGTGGTGTCGAGGGTAATGTTCTGGGGACAGATTCCAAACTTATAGTCCTCCCTTGCAGTCTTCAGTCTTTTGCCTTGCTGAGGAATTTCCAGAACTCGATATCAAACACCAACAATTTCTAAAATAGCAGTATTACCATTCTCACAGTGGAGTTGTAGTCCTGGATGGCCACATTCACGCGGTCTTTGCTCTCCTCCCCAGAATGGAAAGCCTGCAACAACATCACCACACCCGAACTGATTACGGCAGATTTCGTACAATGCAGGGCTGCTTGATGACAAGGGAGTCTCAGATATAACCAAGAGTATTATAACAAAAAGGAGGAAGTAGTTCATATTCTTGAACGGATGGGGATGAGGAACTGGGAGGGATTGATGGCTGAATTTCAAGAAGTGGTTGGTCTGGATTCTGGAGGGAAAATAAGAACTGATATAGGATGTAAGTGCTTGAATGAAAAGCGAGGCTGTGAAGATAATTCAAATAAACTGCTAGACAATGCATTTGGTTGACTTAAAAGACTTTGACTTGTCAACTTCTTTGCATAAATTTACTCTGATAATAAGTAATAGTTCATATTCTTGAACGGATGGGGATGAGGAACTGGAGGGATTGATGGGTGAATTTGGAGAATGTGATATAGAATGCAAGTGCCTTAGGAAGACTGGAAGTGCGGAAAATTAAAAGAAAAGAAGAAAAACTCATCTAAGTGTGAATAGTCATTCCTCCCGGTTACTGGCTTGGGAAAAGGCAGGCCATGGAAAATGAGACTGCTTTACGCGCTTTGCGTCCTATCCACGTAGACGGAAGTTTCCTCCTACACTTGCAGAAGACTGGTTAATCCCTAATGTGACATTCCTCCATAATCACCATCGGACCGGTAAGCGACAATTACCAGATCCATCTGATTCATACACATTATCTTTCTCTGTGAAAACTACCGTCTTCTGGCCACCCTGCTCTTTGCTCTTAATACTGGATCACTTTTGGGGGTAGTTTTCTTACCGTGTCGGCGCTTCGTCCTGTACAGACAGCGGTTATATACGGCATAAAATTTAGACCAATAACGTGGCTTGTGTATATAATTTAATAGGTTAAAAAAAGATCATTATTAAATAATATAAAATTTATTTATTAATATTTTAAATAATATAATTTATATTAATACACTAATTTTAATTTTTAATATTAAATTTTTATTTTATTTATTGTGATTCTATATATATATATAATGTTCTAAGCATGATATTTCAGAAATTATAATGATTACGTCGGTCTTTATTAGAATTTTAGAGATTATTATCCGTACTTCTCGTACTACGGGTTAGCTTCTTTTGTGCGGAATGAGGAATGAATGAAACAATTTTTTCCTTTTTTTTTTTTTTAATTCCTAATAATCTCACTACATCATTTCCATGCTTAAAATATCTAATAAATTAGTTAGAATTTAACTAACGGTTAAATTTATCCCTAGATTCCGGTTTCAAAAAGTTATTATTCTTGTTTAACCATGAAACAATAGTTGTTGCCCTACATTGTACGATTAGGATTAACTTGAGTCCTTTTCAATGAGCAGTGTTATTGCATTTGGGGTTGTAGTGCCACGTACCATTTTCACACGGCACTTTATTAAAATTATTAATTTATTATTTTTATATTAAAATAATTATTATTTTTAATTTTTTAAATTAAAATTTTTAAATAATTTATGTAATATTAAATTATATTACTTTAAAAAAAAATAAAAGACAAAAAGAAATTTTATGTAAGATAATGCATTAAAATAAATAGATAATAATATAATTTAAGGAAGAAAAAAATATTTGTGTAACTTCAAAAATAAAAATGAAATTAGGTAAAATAGCAGAAGAGGAGACGAGTTGCTCTCGTCACCAGTGTCTTAAATTGGCCCTTGACAAAACAAACCAGACGTCAACAATTTGATGATGCAGTGGAGGGCTGATTCCATGAGGGCAGTTAACGTGCATTTTCAGTATAAACCAAAAATCAACTAATGAAGTTATCCAGCACAGCCTAACTAACATCATTCGTGTTTATAAACCAAAAATCAAGCCTAAATGAATGCAGAACCCTGTTCATAGTTTTAAACTCCAAAATGAAATCAAATAATCAAGTTATGTTCTAGATATAAAGGCAATGAAGAAATGAATGTCAATGTGTATCTCAAAAAGTAAATTCTAAAGTTAACCTCATCTTTGCGTGCTAAGAAAATATAACATCATAATAAACAATATGTTAAAGTATGCAAAATCTTTCTTCTAAATATATTCCTAAAGCAACCAAGATTGGAGATGCAATGGACAAGTTCTACAGACTTTGAGGCAAATACTAGTACAATATTTTCATTTCAAATGAGGTTCCCTGGGCAGCTTAACTCTGACCTCTAAAAACTTGTAGCGGATCTAATTCCCTTATGTTATTATAGACCAGTTCATGCAATAACAATGATCAAAATCACATAACATTACCATCTTATTGCCAAAAGAATAGCATTAAACCAAAGATGTTAGTACAATGAAACATACTTTTATTCAACCATGTAATAAATATTGAAACATAACTTGAAATAATCACTACTGAAATCTTGGGTTTTATCAACAATATATCAGCAATATGAGATTGTTTGTTGCTAAATATAACTATCAGCAACAAGCCTTAGGTTGCTGAAAGTGCTATAGTACACCAATCCATGCAAAAAGCTGCCCCACTTTCACCAATACACTTCTTGTTGTTGAAAGTAACTTTCAGCAACATACTCTATCTTGCTGATATTTTCCGGTGGATTCTTTGCCATTTAAATGAGCTCCACTTTTCAGCAACGAGTTCCTTGTTGCTGAAATTCACTTTTAGCAACAAGAGATATGTTGCTGAAAAAGTTTCCAATTACTTTAAGTATTAGCAACATATATTTTCCAGCTTCCTCCCTTGCACTTTCAGCAACAAGGGGCATGTTGCTGAAAGTGCCCTTGTTACTACCATCTCCAACCGGCCACCCCTTGCACTTTCAGCAACAAGGGACAGGTTGAAAGTGTCCCTCTTTTGATCACCAGCAACAAGCCTCTTGTTGTTGAAAGTGCTCCCAACCTCCGGCCCCCACGTACCAACCAATCCCAGTGACCGGTGGGTGGTAGAATGAGATGCACTTTCAGCAGCATGGTTCTTCTTGCTGAAAGTGAATTTCAGCAACAAGAGCCATGTTGCTGAAATTTTCTAAATTTTGCTATAACATTACCCACATATATCATATTGCTATTGATAATCACCTCTTCTAGCCACTAATTAGCAACATGGATCATATGTTGGTGAAAGTGAGACAATTGCACCTTCTTGCTAAAAATCCTTTGACTAGTAGCTCATTCACCCTTTATATATACAGCTCTCTCCTGCTAATATATACACTTCTCCCACACTTCCTAATTTCTTGCTATTTCTCCCTCACTTTTGCAATTCACTTTTTTTATCTCCATATAATTATTTTTATATTATAATTTAAAAGTATTAATTTTTTTAAATTTCAAAACTCTTTTTTTCTATTGCTTAATGGAAAGTCAGCCAAATTTTAATAGTCAATTGAAAAGTCAAGAATATTTTGACAACCAATTGGAAAGTCAAGAATATTTTGACAACCAATATGATGGTAGAACTTTTTTTTTTGTCCTTCCCTTATTTCTCATTTCCTGTTCGTTCACCCCATTTACTATCACATTATTTAACTTGATGTTATTTTACACAGGAATAGTTGAGGATACTCCTGAATCATTATGGAATTGCCCATCTCAGAGTTCTCCCAACAAGAAATTAAAACAAGCAAAGAATAATGTATCAATTGACCAACACATTCCATTGCCTAATATTATAGACTACACTGTTTGTCAAATATGTGATACTCCTGGACATTTAGCTACAATTTGCCCGCATCGATATGCTGTAACTTGTCAACTGTGTAACCGTCACGGTCATATTGCAAAAAGTTGCTCAAATCGTTATCGATCACCATTTTTATCACATCCACCCAATGCCCCTACTGAGTCCTCCAAAACAATTACAAAGATTTTTCCTAGTGGTAGCCATCTTACCATAGAAAAAAAGTATTGGGATGCTGCCATTCAAAAATTACGATCCATTGAAAAACCGTAGTATCATTGTCTTACTTATGTTCTTCAATTTTTTTTTTCCAAGTTCTCTTGTTCTCTTATGATTATCTTGTATATTTTGATATTACAATGTTTATTAATGATTTCTAAGTTTTTCTCATGTTGACTATTAAGAGTTTGCATGAAATTCTTTTACTTTGTCAACCCCAATTGTCCAAGAGTCCAATCTTACTTACTAGAGTCAACTGTAAAGGACTAAGAATCGACTCTCAACATGGAGAGTCGACTATATGAAGGAAAAAAATGCTACTAGAATTTGGTAGTCAACTCTTCACATAATACA